CTGGAATTACCAGGCGCCCGCCACCATGCTAGGGCTAATTTTTGTGACTTTTAGTGTAGAGACGGGGTTTCACCATGTGGCCAGGCTTCTGTCTTGAACTCCTGACCTCTGATCCACCGCCTTGCCTCCTGAGTGCTGGATGACAGGTGAGCCTCTGCGCCTGCCAAAAAACATGTCTAATTCCGTACGTGTCACATAAATCCATTTAGGTTCACAGTCTAATTCTGATGAATTTTCTTGAAGAACAAACTGTGTCTATGTGTTTTTTAATACACTTGTATTTCTTTATTCTTTAAACTATAGGAACTCTACATTGACGCAGGAACTAGAAATGCAGTTAAATTAGGTCATGTGTTCATTAAGTATTAGAGACCAAAAAGAAGACCACAAAATCAAAAAATTTAATTTCTAAAAAGTTTAAATATATTTACAATTTAAACAATTTCATTGTACAGTATTTGACAATACATTCTTGAAAGGCAAACTCAGTGTATCAGTTTTGTTTTAAGCTTAATGTGTCTTTTGCTCTTCAGAGGAAGACTGCAAACGTCAGCAACTTGTTATTGGTTGAAATATAAAGAGGAATCTGAAAGAAAAATGAATTCAATCTGTCAAATCCATAATTAATTGAAGTTTTTCATTTTTTATTCACCTCTCGCTGCCATAAAATAGCAGCCTGTTTCATCAATATGCCATGTATTTTAATTAGTGTATGTATTCTGCCTGCGCTTTGTGTTATATAAAACAAGAACAGTTGATCTTCTGCTGAAAGCATGGGTGTTCAAAGTTTGGTTTTCATGTCGACTGTCTATATTTGTTTTAAATAAACTGCCCACCAAAAGACCCTTGTTTGTTTGTCTACACATCTTCCAGTAAGGTGTCATCATACAGCCTTTATAAGTACAATCTTCGTGTGTGTTATATTATATGTTTTTATGTTTTGAAGCTTCGGAATCTTTTTAAGTAATGTTTCATACTTTCTCATCTTCTTTTCCTATTGCATCATGTTTAAGTTTATGTTTTGTTGTTAAGATAAGAGAAGTCTCTTCACAGGTACAATAAATAATAGCTCACTGCAGCCTCGAACTCTTGGGCTGAACTGATCCTCTCACCTCAGCCTCCCAAGCTGCTGGGACTACAGGAACCTGCCACCATGGCCAGCTGTTTTATAAAGTATTTTTAGAAATGGGGGTTTCACCATGTTGCCCCCAGACTAGACCCGTGGGCTCAGATGTCCTAGCTCCTCCACCTCCTGAGTAGCTGGGACTATTAGGTGCATACCACCATTCCTGGCAAGAAAACATTTTTTCCCCCACCGAGAGTCTTGCTCTGTCACCCAGGCTGGAGTGCAGTGGTACAATCTTGGCTGACTGCAACCTCTGCCTCCCAGGTCCAAGTGATTCTCCTGCCTCAGCCTCCCGAGTAGCTGGGATTACAGGCGCCTGCCACCATGCTGGGCTAATTTTTGTCCTTTTAGTAGAGACGGGGTTTCACCATGTTGGCCAGGCTGGTCTTGAACTCCTGACCTCGTGATCCACCCGCCTTGGCCTCCCAGTGCTGGGATTACAGGCGTGAGCCTCTGCGCCCAGCCAAGAAAACATTCTTAATTCCATTTACGTTCACATAAATTCCATTTAGGTTCACATCTAACTTCAGATGAATTTTCTTGATAGAACAAATGTGCAGAAGACTTTTTTTAATACACACTGAATTATTCACCAAAACTATAGACTCTACATGACAGAACTAAAATGCAGTAAATTAGGGTCAGTTTAATGTTTCATTAAGTATTTAGAGACCAAAAGAAACCACAAAATCTTATTATTTAAAATATTTTAATTTCTAAAAAAGTTTAAATCATATTACAATTTAAACAATTTCATTGTACAGTATTTGACAATACATTTCAACAAACTGAAAGGCAAATCAGTGTATCACTTTTGTTTACTTTCTAAGCTTAATAATGTACAGACTCTTGCTCTTCAAGAAGATGCAAACGTCAGCAACAGTAAAAGTGAAATATTTAAAGAGGAATCTGAAAGAAAATGAATTCAATCTGATCAAATCCATAATTAATTGAAGTTTTCATTTTATTCAATTGTGAATAAAATAGCAGCCACTGTTTCATCCAATATGCCAACGATAACTTAGGAGAAAAGATCTGCCTGGCTTGTGCAAAACAAGAACAGTTATCTTCTGCTGAAAGCATGGGAGTTTTCAAGTTTGGTTTTCATGTCACAGTTTCCAAGTAAATAAACTGCTCCACCAAAAACCACAGTCCAGGTGCTACATATCTTCCAGGGTGTCATCATACAGCCATTTATAAGTACAATCTTCGGAAGACTCTATAGTTTCAAAAAGTCTTTTGAAGTCTTCAGGGTACATATTCACTACTTTCTCATCTTCCTTTTTTCCTATTTGCATCAATATATCCGCTGCATCAAGTGGAGTCAATGAACTGCAAAAGAAATATAAAGTAAATGTGCTTAATTCTTTTTCACGCATCTATCCCTTAATGGTGACAGAAATGGCTTCTAAGTCGAAATTAAAATGTCAAACTTAGGCATACAGAGTGCTGTAATGGACACGGGAGAATCAGCAGGGAAGAGCAGAGGAGGAGGGTGAGGGATAAAGCACTGCGTACCATGTACACCATTTGGGTGACGGGTACACTAAAAGCCCAGACTTCAACAATCCATCCATGAAACAAAAAAATCACTTGTATTCCTAAGGCTATTGAAATAAGAAGAAAAAAAAAGAACCATAACTTATATATGAGCAATCTTATTTAGTTTAAGAACTTCCAATAACTTTATGTTTATTTCTAAAGTTTCATAGCTAACCTATAATGAAAATATTAATAGCAGGTTTAGGCTATCACATACTCTAATCAATTTTTACACAAAATTCTAGTTTAATCATTACCCTTTCAAAAATTATTATGCCTACCTCTTTCATCCTTTTCCTTTCTGCAAAAAATATTCTTAACTTCTTTTGGTTCATGTCAAAGCTCAGTAACTACGAACAGCAGAAGTTGCTGTTTGGCAGTTTACCAAGAGGGAGTCGTTTTTCACATTTTGATGTAACCATCACTGGTAAATAAATTATAAAGCAGCGAACTTCCTTATACAGTCATGCATTGCTTAACGATGGAGGAATGTCCTGAGAAATGCCCTGTTAGGTGACTTCTTTGTTGCTTGAACATCTTACAGAGTACTTAACCCAAACCTATGTGATACAGCCCATTACATACTTAGGATATATGGCATAGCCTAGTTGCTCCAAGGTTACAAACCTGCACAGCATGTTACTGTACTGAACACTGTAGGCAACTGTAACACAATGATGAGTGACAGAAAAGATACAGTAAAAGATACAGCATCATTATAACCTTATGGGACCACTATTGTACATTTGGTCTGCCACTGACTGAAACCAGGTGTGAGGAATCTACCTCATTACGAGGTATTTTATATATAAGGTATATTATATAATATATATACAATATAGAATCAATGAGGTGTATCATATACCATAATATGAGGTATATAACTATATCAGCTTAGCAAGAAACCATCGATAAGCCTCTCACAACAACAACTGTAAAAAAATATTTTGGGCTGGGTGTGGTGGCTCATACCTGTTATTCCAGCACTTCGGGAGGCGAGGTGGGAGGATCATTTGAGCCCAAGAGTTCAAGACTCTCCTGAGCAACAGAGAGAGACCCCATCTCTACAAAAAATGTAGAAAGTGAGCTGGGCATAGTGGTGGGCGTAACAGGCCCAGCTACTCAGGGAAGAGGCTGAGGCAGGATCACTTGAGCCCACAGGTTTGTGGTTGCAGTGAGCTATGATTGTGCCACTGTACTCCAGACTGGGCAACAGAGTGAGACTCTCTGTCTGTTCAATTCCAAATTTTGATATTGAATAGAATCTCGGTAACATGTTTCTAGTCCATTGAGATTACCAGGAGCATTTTTAATATTTTGCACCATGATTTACAACATTTATTCCTTATTTCCCTATTTTCTTGGTATTTTCATTGAAAATAGCCACCACAAGGTGGCAAGATGAAAAAATAAGAGATTGCCTTTTATTACTCTATTGCCTTTTACTAGTCTATTACCCCGCCCCCCCCCCCTTTTTTTTTTAGAGATAGAGTCTTGTTCTGTCACCCAGGCTCATCTCAAACTCTTGTTGGCGCTCTCTGCCTCCAATTTTCTTTCTTTTTTTTTTTTTAAAGAGACAAGGTCAACTTCCTCTGTGTCCCACACTGGAGTGCAGTGGTGAGTTTATGGCTCACTACAGCCTCCAACTACCGGCCTCCTCAAGTGATCCTTCCACCTTGGCCTCACAAAAAGTGCTCGGATTACAGGCATGAGCCACTGCACCCAGGCTATTGCCACTTTTAACATTTATTTTTAGATAAATATTGTCTGGTCAACAGCTCAAGAGTTATATGTTAAATGATCAAATTAGTTAAAATAATTATTTTAACATTTTACCCATCCTCTGGCAAGACTGAATGACTATGGGCTGCTGATGACAAGGCACAATGCACAACTTACAGGGACGTATGCATCAGCCCTACATACAAATTACATGGATCTACATACAAATTACACAGATGGCTGGGCATGGTGGCTCCCGCCTGTGACCCCAGCACTACTGACAGAGGTGTGTACGTCAGCCCTACATACAAATTACACGGATGGCCAGGCACGGTGGCTCATGCCTGTGACACCAGCACTTTGGGAGGCCAAGCCAGGTGGATTGCTTGAGGCCAGGATTTTGAGACCAGCCTGGGCAACATGGCAAAACCCGCATCTCTACAAAAAAGGCAAATACAATTATAAACACAATAAAATAAAAAATGTTATATTTTTACAAATATAAAATTAGCCAGGCGTGGTGGGCATGCCCCGTAGTCCCAGCTACTCAGGAGCTGAGGTGGGAGGATCCACTTGAGCCTGGAAGACAAGGCCGCAGTGAGCTGACCTGTGCCACTGCACCTTCAGCCTGGGACAACACACAGCGAGACCCTGTCTCCTAACAACAAGCAAACAATGTTTTCACTTTTACACCACTGAAGACGGCAATGAGAGGTGACCCGTGGCACGCCTCCAGCAACGCTGATTTTTCTCCACCCACTAGTGGTAAGCTTGCTAGTGCTTCCCTAAGATAAAGCTAGGCCTATTACTTCCAAAAGACAAAACAACCTGTAGGCCATCCCTGGGCATTTTTTCAAAGAAGAAAAATAAACAGAACTCACCGAGAGATTATGGAAAAAAATATTTTCCTCAAAATGTACACTAGGGACGAACAAATTATCTTGAAGAAATATGAGGGAAACATGGTACCTCACTCTGTCAATCAAGATATAAAAAATAGACCTCTAAGATGAAGAAGAATACATACATCAAATGCTACTTTCATACTTGCTTTTATTCTTTTCACTTACCGTAAGTGGTCTATTACAGTAGCACTGCGCTTTCCCAAAACAGTGCTTAACAAGTGAAAAAATATATTATAAGTTCATAGGTGTAAGCTATTGGGCAAATAAATTCG